CTAATAAAACACTCCATCTGCAGCGCGACTGTGACAGGATTTATAGATCTCACAGGACGAGTGTGTGAGCGAGAGAAAGAGGGCAAGAGGATGGCTGAGTCAGGCTACATCTAGGCAAAACACCCTGTTCCTCACAGCCACCCACTCTGGAAAAAAGACTGGCTGCTGCCCTCATCCTCTTCACTCCATCCTTCACTGTCAGAGTGTCCGATGAAACATCATGCATGCTGTCAGCATCAAGTGACTCAAGTTGTGATGTTGTATTTCATGTGGACAACCACTTTTTTGACTATCAGAAAAATCTAGTTTGCTTTGCAGCTCATCCTGACCAAGAACTGCCCACTTAGACAGGACAAAAATGGTTTCACCAGCAGTTTGTTTCAAAGCGATATGTGACTGTTTGGCCTTTACATAGATATTTTACATAAAATCAACTGCGTGAAGTTTGTAGATACAGTATATAATCTTAATACAATCCAGAGAAAATGGACTGTACGCTGTGACTACATGGTGCCTGGAAACTTAATATGTGAATTTATTTCACCTAAAACGCCTCAGGTTACTTTATTCAGTTCATTGACAGAGGCTGTGGAAACATGAACATGGACACCAATCCAGGATCTCGATCACATTTGTGTTTACTCAAGATATTTGATCCTGAAGCTTGGCTAATCTTAGTCTACTTGCCTAAAACTTTTTCACAATCATCACCAGTCCAACGGAAGTTCTTTACCAATCTGTGAGGTTCAGCAAACATCTGTTTTAGGCTCAGTGATTGATTCTCATCTGTCTCTTGGGTGGATGATGTGATAAGAGTGATACGAAGACACGCGACACTGATTATATCTGGAGTCTGAGTTCAAGGTGCAGAAACTCAGGCCCTAATCCTCTTCTGTACTTTTTTCACTGAGCCCCAGTAAAATTCTGCTGTGGCCCAGTAAAATATTACTGATAAATCCTTGGCTGATGCTGGAGAATACTGCATAACGACCAGAATATCATTATCTCTGATAATATTTCAGCAATAATAACGTGTGGTTTCTACCAGCTGTTTAGAATCAGAGCTAAAGATTCAATGATGAATCACTATATTCAGTTGAATGGCAGTGCAAAAAGGTCTGAAATTTTCAGTTTGATTCATTCGGACAAGTTCATTTATGCACTGAATCATTTACAGTGGTTTCTCACACCGTAAGGGGAGATTTCAGAAAACAAAAATAGCACTGGATGAGGTGATATTTACAGTCCTACAGACAATTGTATAAAACAAAACACATATACGTCAGCAATGAACCCCGAAGTGAGCGAGCAGGTAACGACCAACGACAGTATTATAAATGAGAATGAAAATATGGAGACATTTTTTGATGGAGGCCTGCACCCCAGTAGCCTACTAATGAAAGGCTAGAAACATCCCTGATTTGCCCTGACAGTTCATGTGTAACTATATTTTTTTGAGCTTTCGTTCACCTGCAGCTGTGCCTCCATAAAATAAAAAACTCTGGCGACACCCCTTGGTGGGATGGGGGCGGGGTTACATTGAACTGTCTGACAGCATATGTGTGCGTATGTATAAACCCCTACGGATTCCGAGAGTAAGCCAAGCTTTTAAAACATGCATAAAACAAACCCACAAACAACACAAGGTTTGATTCTTACATGCATTTTTAACCTGCTCTCTCCATTTATGAGACAGAAGCCCTAAGCTTCCAGATTCTTCTGATGGCCTGACTCAACACTTTTATGACACATAGAATAAAATATACGCAGTTTCTCTGGCCAGATACTGAATAGACCTATCTGAATCTAAAGTGTAGATACATACACATATTCATCAGCCAAAAAAAAAACCTATATGTAAGAGGTTTTTAAAGAGTCCCCATAACCACAGAAATCACATCCTCCCTGATTCCATGGCAACCAGTGATGGTACAGGCTGTCAGCCCCGCCTTTCTTCTGCACTCCAATATCAACATTAGAGCCTGCGAGGCAGTACTCGCAGCATACACACACCAAAACAGATGGGAACTTCACGCTCAAATCTGCTCCAGCACACTGCTGTACTGTAAATACAAACACAGACCTGCAACTATACTTTCTAGTATCTGTGGGTTTGCCAGTGTTATGTAAGAAGTCATATTAGAACTTGATATCTCGCACAGCAGCCAATAAAATTATTTTAAGAAGTCAGTGCTCACTGAGCCGTGCTTTTCCTCTATAGAGTCCAAGTTGACCTTGGCAGAGTTAGAGTGACCATGCATGACTGCACAAAGCTGGGGTTGTATAGCCGGCTGTATATGCGATTCAGTCCAGACTCACCCTTGTCTGGTCTTCCATTCATTATTTTCATTTACTGGTGCAGCACAGAGCACAATTTCCTGAGTGCTGCTTTCGGAATCAGATTTTAAAACGGCAGATCAGCACTGAGCTGTCCATCATAACTTCACTTCTCCATCTCATTTCCTTTCTTCAGTATCTACACATCTATCCGTCCCATATCAGTTAGTTTCTGCTTCTCGTTCAGGCACCACATGGCTACCAACCAAGTGATGTCACCTCCTCGCCACCGCAAGTAATGCTCTTTTAATGTGAATGTTAATGAATGCAAAGTCTTCAGCACTTTTCCCAGGGGCAAATAATCTTGTCTCACTGGGTTTATTGGGAACCAAAGCCCAGTTCATTCAAAATTAATTTCAGGTTATGAAATATTAACATAGAATTTGATGGCCTTAGCCTGGGCAGTGGTGATGTAACCATCCCAGATTCACCCAAGGAGGTTATAGATACAGTTTTAGTCCTTTCATAGTTGAACTAGTTAACAATGGGTCAATCTCACCAGGTAAACGGAATCCTGGGTTATCTTTACCTGGGGTTAACAATTAACCCTGGGTATAAACAAAGGAAACTAAAAACACAGGAAACAAGGACAAGCAAATTAAGAGTCTATGAAAACCAATGTAAACTAACATGACAGTCGACTGCTATTAAGTTTTCTCTGAATGGACTTTTTGGACACTAAAGGTAAAACTCCAGTTTTGTGTGTGTGTGTGTGTGTGTGTGTGTGTGTGTGTGTGTGTGTGTGTGTGTGTGTGTGTGTGTGTGTG